TTTTTTTTTTTTTTTTTTTCAAATCCATTTCTTGATTAATAATATGATCTGCAAGATATTTAATTTTTTTTGTTCAATTCGATCAAGGACGGATGAGATTAATTCTTGAATGTAGTTGAATTTTTTGTTCTCAATGAGAATTCCGCTTATCAGATCCCTTTCTTTCAAACCGAGAGAATAATTTTTAAGGGTTATTGTGAAGTTAGTTAAAGAATTACAGAAAACACGGTTGCAACGGGATGTTTTCTGATCAATATCAGTTGGATATCCGAAGCCCTTTTTGTTTTTCGTGCCTAGAGGATTGACTTATTTGTAATGATCCGATGACGATTTTCAAGTTGCTGCAATTCCCTTTTTCCTTGGGGGCGGCCAGGTGTTGGGGTGGAGGTTTGGTTGTCATTTAGCTTAAAAGGTGTAGTTGAGTCTTAATTCTTGATATTTATGCAATATTTGTAGCAGGGTTGTTGCTTAAAAGGCGTATTCTCCATTCTATTAGATTGCAAACAAGTTGTGGCAGGGTTGTCACTTTGACTACAAGGTGTATTCGAGTCTTGATCTTTAGATTGCAAACAAGTTGTAGCAACAGCGCACATGTTCAATGAATTGCAGCAACTAAAAGTGTGAAGTTCGTCGATTTTAATACTGAATTATGAAGGTCTCCATAACCTGCACACAAAGAAATGCAGGGGAAGTGAGACTTGTTGATCTCTCGAAATTATGATGATGCACACAAATCTACCAATGAAGCACGAGTCCAGAATAGATTTCTCTCGTGCAAGAGTCCTTCCTTGGACTGCTACAAAAAACACCGTTGGATTTCAAAGTAGCACAATCTAAATGAAAATTTTCATCCAATTGAGCGCGTCTAGCATATTTCTAGCATATTTTTTCACGGTAGCAGTCACTATAACTGACTCTGAAGTAGTAAATGAGACTTAATGCAGTTTGCAGCAAACATTGCAAACCGAAATACCGTGCACTTAAGTTAATTGGGATAATTAGGTGGAAGAAAAGATAACAAGATTAGACTTCCGGTTTTGTTGACTTGAGGGGATACAGAAAGGAATAGTTTTATTGAGTTAAATAGCTTCATGTGTTTATTTGATTTACCTTTCAAGATTGTTTAATTCTTAATTGGCACTCATATGCCTGGAAATTACTCAAAATACATTCAGCAGATAACATGTTATCGAGTCTGTTTCATATCTATTTTTACATTATCATAAGTTTGCAATCTGACTAAGCTGATGCATTTATACTTTTAGCTCGCAGCTGTAGTCCTTTCCCCATTGTTCAGCTGTACATAGGCGATGGGGCAATGCTGGACTAAGGTAATCAATGTTCAGACACCAGTCACATTGGACAATTATTTCGTTTTCTTTTATCTGTTCTTGAGATAACTGCCATAGGTACTGGTTTATTTAGGTTTGTTATGGTTCAAGAGTTTCTTTTGTTTACCTTTAAGTATAGATATTCTTGCTCTGGAACAATAGAACTTTCTTTTCCGGTAGATAATGAACTTATCATCGCAGTTTTGCACACAAAGTGATAATGTAAAGAGTGCTACAGCAGAGCTCGGAGGTGAAAATGTTCACCTTATCACTACAATGGAGAAGTGGGAAGAAAAGAATTCCGAAGCAAGGAAGAAAGGCAAGATAGTAAGTTGCCTTTGCTTTATTCGACTATCATTCTAAACTTATTGCCGATCATGTAATTTCCTCCGAGTAGGCAACCACTGATTTGCTAGATTGCATTATGATTTCAAACACTGTCATTCCTATCCAGGGTCAGATTTTAGCTCATGCAACACATCACTTTCATCTGCACAGCATCAATCTGATGTGGTTTGTGTATTTTTGAAGAAGATATGTATCTCTACCTGCTAATGTGTGTGATTGTGTGTCAACTTGAATACTATTGATTGGATTTTATTCAGTCATTTTTCGATATTGATTTAGGAGTTGGCTTTAATCAGCAAAAAGCCATAAATTTGGAGCTTGCTACAAATTTTTGATATGAGAACTCATCTTCCTCATTTTTTCTCACTTCAGATGTTCTTTTTCTTATTTGTAATTTCCAACAGGTAGTGGTTAATTTCAGTACATCTTGGAGCAATCCTTGTAGAGAGATAGCACTATCTTACTCTGAGCTTGCCGATAAATATCCTTCAATTCTATTTCTAACAGTGGACGTTGATAAATTAGCAGTAAGTTCTCACTTTTTCTTTAAATGCGTATGAACTAGTTGATGTTATTTTTGCGCCATATCTATTTCAAGAAAACACCTAACTCTTAGAAACGGAATATGTTGATATATGAAAATGCTGTTCTGGTATGGTGTAGGAATTGAGTACCAAATGGGACATCAAAGCCACTCCATCCTTCTTTTTCCTGAGAGACGGACGACAACTGGACAAACTTGTGGGTTCCAACAAGGCAGAGCTCCAAAAGAAGATAATGGCCATTGCCGTGTCAAATTGAAGGTCCCTTGATTGAATCTTCCTGTTTTGGTTACTCTATGTGAACATTTATAAATTGTTTGGTAAAGTGGATTTGATAATCTTGGGCAGAATTATATAAGAAAAAAAAAGTTAAAAATATTGTTCATAGGGCTGTCCAACATTGTCTAGTAATGTACCAAATATGTCATTGAAGTAACAATAACGCAGGAGCGTCATAGTTTTGTTACATCGTGTATTTTGATCTTTGATACTTCAAGAATGGGATGACTTAGCTCCCGTTTGGCATCCATTAATTTATAATATATTTTTCTGTATCTTCTTTTTAACAACACGTTCTCCAATAAAATAATATTACAAATAAATCAAAAAATTTCTTTATTTTTTAACCATGCATTTTCCA